TCAATACTTTATTTAAGATAAATCAGCTCGGGGCCCTTTCGTTAGAAAACGGCCCCACTTTAGGGTTGTCAAAAAATATACTTAGCGAGAGACAATTATGAAATTTTGAACAAAGCTTTCTGAGCTAAAAAAAACTTGTCACGATCTAGTGGGAGAGAAAGAGCGAGTGATGGCTTCTACAATTAAGCATTAGTCCACCAATGGCGATCCCTCTACTCGTTACTTTCTCATGTTTGTGATGCTCCTTCCACTTTGTTCGAGCATAGATACCCTAAGTAGAGACACTATCACGTACCCAGGAGGAGCCACTCTTGTGTCCCCCGGCATGAGGTTCGAGCTCGGATGTACATAAGAATATAATATTACAGGTCAGATCCACATATCATCGTCTCGGTCACCAACCGAGATGACCCGCTCGTCGAGGGTCGTTCTACTTCATGGATAGCAAACTCAAGTTTTGGGATGAGCAACGAAAGATGCGTCTAATCAAAATCAGGGGTTCGAGCTCTTTGGCCTTGCCTGTGAAGCTTCTAAATTCAGGGAATCTAGTGTTGATAAAAGACAACCAGAGCGAGAGCATCTTCTAGTAAAGTTTCGATCATCCAACAAACACGTTCCTTCCGGGGATGCAGATGATTGATAAATTCAAGATGACTTCTTGGGCAAGTCATGATGAACCGAAACAAGGGAAGTTCACGCTTTAAAGGGATCTAGAAGGCGAGTACGAGGTGATCCAACACTTGTCTCTTTATTGAAAAAGTGCGGTGTACAACAAGTCCCTACGAGCTGATGAGATGTTTAGGATCACCTCTCTTGCTTTCCAACTTCACAAGAGTTGCTACTTTTTTGCCAACTAGTCTGAGCTCGGGCTACAAAAACATGACCTCGCCTTGGGCCTACGATTACAACAATGCCCCGTTGGTCATGAACTACGATTACGGCTACTATAGTTTATTTCAAAATCTACTAACAACAATATTCATCTATACTTATAATAAGCCCCCGAACTCACCGGTTGGCCAAATCATCGCAACCAACGAGCCCGTGCATTTTATGAAAGATGCACGTGCATCGCACGAAGATGCACGTAAGATGCACGAGTTCACTAGGGGTCTTTTTTGAAACTAAGTTAGCAATTTCAAAACTTTATTTAACACAAATCAGCTCATGGCCCTTTCTTTAGAAAACGGCCTCAATTTAGGGTTGCTAAAAAAAACATAGCGAGAGACAACTATAAAATCTTGAAAAAAGCTTTCTAAGCTAAAAAAAACTTACCACGGTATAGTGAGAGAGAAAGAGCGAGTAATGGCTTCTACGATGAAGTATTAATCCACCAATCGCGACCCCTCCACTAGCTGCTTCCTCATGTTTGTGATGCTCCTTCCACTTTGCTCGAGCATAGATACCCTAAGTGGAGGCACTATTACATACCCGGGAGAAGCCACTCTTGTGTCCGCTAGCAAGAGGTTCGAGATCGGCTTCTTCTCTCATGAAGGGATTTTCGACTCTAGGATGCACATATGAATATCGAATCATTGTCTTGGTCACCAACCGAGATGACCCGCTCATCAGCCCTGTAGGGTGGTTCGGCTTCATGAATGGCGAACTCAAGTTATGGGATGAATAACGAAAGATCCGTCTAATCAAAATCAAGGGTTCGAGCTCTTTGGTCCTGCCTGTGAATCTTCTAAATTCAGGGAATCTAGTGTTGATGAAAGACAACTAGAGCAAGAGCATGTTATGGCGGTTGGATACATTATTTTCGGGGATACTGATGACTGATGAATTTAAAGTTGACTTCTTTGGTAAGTCATGATGAACCAAAACAAGGGAAGTTCACGTTTTAGATGGATCTAGAAAGCAAGTACGAGGTGAACCAATACCTGTCTCCTTATTGGAAGGATGTGTACAACAAGTCCCTACGAGCTGATGAGATGTTTAGGATTGCCTCTCTTGCTTTCCAACTTCACAAGGGTTGCTACTCTGCTGCTAGCTAGTTCGAGCTCGGGCTACAAAAACATGATCTTGTCTTGGGCCTACGATTACAGCGACGCTTCGTTGGTCATGAACTATGATTACAGCTACTATAATTTGTTCTCAAAATCTATTAACAACAATATTCATTTATGCATTTAATAAGGCCCCAAACTCATGGATCGGCCAAATCATCGCAACCGACAAGCCCGTGCATTTCATGAAAGATGCACGTGTATCGCACGAAGATGCACGTGAGATGCATGTGAGATGCACGAGTTTACTAGTAGTCTTATTTGAAACCGAGTTGGCAATTTCAATACTTTATTTAAGACAAATCAGCTCATGGCCATTTCGTTAGAAAACGGCCCCACTTTAGGGTTGCCAAAAAATTACATAGCGAGAGACAACTATGAAATTTTGAACAAAGCTTTCTGAGCTAAAAAAAACTTGCCACGGTCTAGTGAGAGAGAAAGAGCGAGTGATGGCTTCTACAATTAAGCATTAGTCCACTAATGGCGATCCCTCCACTCGTTGATTTCTCATGTTTGTGATGCTCCATCCACTTTGCTCGAGCATAGATACCCTAAGTAGAGGCACTATCACGTACCCGAGAGGAGCCACTCTTGTGTCCGCTAGCAAGAGATTCGAGCTCGGATGTACATAGGAATATGGTATTACAGGTCGGATCCTCGGATCATTGTCTCGGTCGCCAACCGATATGACCTGCTCGTCGAGGGTCGTTTGGCTTCGTAGATAGCGAACTCAAGTTTTGGGATGAAGAACGATAGATGCATCTGATTAAAATCAAGGTTCAAGCTCTTTGACCCTTCCTGTGAAGCTTCTAAATTCAGGGAATCTAATGTTGATGAAAGACAACCAAAGCGAGAGCATCTTCTGGCAAAACTTCGATCATCCAACGGACACGTTCCTTCTGGGGATGCTGATGATTGATGAATTCAAGTTGACTTCTTGGGCAAGTTATGATGAACCGAAACAAGAGAAGTTCACATTCTAGAGGGATCCAAAATATGAGTATGAGGTAATCCAAGACTTGTCTCCTTATTGGAAAAGCACGGTGTAGAATAAGTTCCTATGAGCTAATGAGATGTTTAGGATCATCTCTCTTGATTTACAACTTCAGAAGGGCTCCTACTTCGCTGCTAACTAGTCCAAGCTCAAACAACAAAAACATGACCCTGCCTTGGGCCTACGATTACAATGAAGCCTGATCGGTTATAATTTATTCTCAAAATCATTGTAACAATAATATTCATCTATACTTTCAACAAGGCTATGAACTCACTAGTTGGATGAGTAAACCACGTACATGCAGCAAGAAAAGTTATTATTGACAGCCCAATGTCAAATCGGTTGGGCAGATGAAGCATAACATGCTTCTAATTTTATTATATTAATCACCAAAGTCAAAATGTGATGGCTTATTGAGTAATGACAAGCTTAAATCGCTCCTTTGAGCTCCTTTGACCTTCCACATGTCCACCTACATTCGCCTGTGCATAAGAATATTATGTGGTTACAAATTGTGTTCGTGGCTTAAAAAACTCATAAAAACTGATTATGTGTTGCTAGTATAAACGTACTATTTGACATAGATAATTCTTTCAAGGTGGGTTTTCGAAAGATTTCAAAAATCATATATCGTTTTGTAACACTGTCTTAATAAACCATTAGCCAATTTAGCCTTTTGGAAGGAAAAAAAAAACAAAAAGGCTTAGCTAAACGAAAATTCCTTGAAAATAACCCTATAAGCAACCAAGAATGACAAAGTCATAAAAGGATTTAAACATTTCCTGTCTCTTCAATCTCTCTAAATTCATTTCTTTCGGTCATTAAATTATTATGTTCCCCATGTCAAGCCGGGAAACTTCAACTCTGCTTTCGGTGGTTGTCAAATCTGAAGGTCAACTCTCAGAGCTTTTGCTTTACATTTTCTCCATTATTACTGCCGGATGTGATCGCTTTTAAAAACAAGATCGTACAGAGAGTAATTAATTACTTACCGAGAGCTTGGCATGAGTAGGACTCTGATTAGTCTGTACTTAATTAGAGGTTAATCAACACTTAACACCCATGTCATAGGTGAAAGAGACAATTAGAGTTAGTCATATGTTTGCTACCAAACCCAGACAATTACACGCCACATTAACATAGTTCCAAATTAAGAATTTTAGTCAACCAGAAGGCCTTATTAGAGTTTCTCCGATAATGGAGTTAAGATAATATTAAGACCGATAATCTTTTTATTTTGTTAGAAGCCATTTGATTCTTAGTCCGACTTTCCATTTCCAATTGAGAATTATGGAGGTTTTGACAGGGACTGAGGAAAGTGGTGCAATAGCTAATCCCATTTGTTATTATAAACTACTAATCATGTGGATTTTGACTTGACTAGAAGGAAAGAAACTACTGTCTTCATTTGTGGGAATATTCAAATCAGTAATCATATCAGCTCCCCATTTGCGATTTCATACAATATGACCTAATTCTTAGTATGAAGAATCATGTTACCCACCAAGTTAATTTTGGTCTTCATCTCATTTTCTTCCCAATACATGATTTTAGTCCACTTTATCCTTGCACTTTGTCGGTTGAATCACTCACTGCCATCCAGCAATACTGGTTTTTTGAGATATTATATGGGTATCCAAACTTTCATTTAAATTATTACTGTTGATTCAACACAAGTCTCTTCGTTCAATCCTATCGGATAAGATTTCTTGCATAGAGCAAGCGATGTTAGCCCCTTCTATTGCACACATATCGTAATGGTTGAGTTATATAGTGAAATTGCTTCATTCTTTTTTCCTAATTAAGGGACCATCAGATCCATGCCGACCATCGGAAAAACGAAATCATTGATAAACCACAGCGGGGCTCATTGCTCTACACTTTTGATCAATTATTGCGAGCCTCAACTGCCCTTTCGACCTTATTACACGTCATATTGCACTAAAAGTCGTACACAAATTCTAGGGGAATCAAGTCACGCAAACCCTAAATGATTCCCCTCGCAACCCTACATTAAATATAATCCTAGTTGCTCCCATTTTCAACGATCTGTTGCACCATCAATCTTGGCTTCAAAGGAGGATTGTTTGCATTAGGAGTGTTGCGATCCAGTCTGGTGGCTAAGCTTAGGTTGGATTCACAGACCGTTCTTTATATTTTTTAGGGTTTTCATGCATAAAGTGGCGCGAATGCAGAGACAAGGTGGGTTAGGTATAACCTGACACATGCAATGCAGTGGACTTCATAGGGAGAGTGGACTAAAGATTGTTATATTAGAGAGTTGTCAGCTTCTTCTATTTTTATATGGCGGCCTCTCCTTCTTCTCCGATCTCTCTTTTGTCTCCACATGCAGTCCGCTGGTCGTGCGCTCCCAAAAGAAGAGCATTATGAAGAAGCTCGTCCATTTTGATGTTATTGTCTAGGTCAGGAGAGGAGAAAGAGGAAAAAAGAACGAAGAAATTTGCATGTGATGCTGCTTCTACAAGCAACGAACAGCTCATCGTTTTCCATCATGCCCACTATCATTGCACTGGCCTTCTGGTAATTCCTCTCTCTCTCTCTCTCTCTCTCTCTCTCACTCTGAGAGAGATAAAGAATGTAACTTCTTCTTCTTCTTCTTCTTCTTCATTTGGATTGTCTGGCACTGTTTGCAGATGAAGATGGGAGTGACGAGACCCATCTTTTTACTGAGGAAAGGAGTGTGAAGGTGCTTCCATCTTTCCCAGAAGCCAAGAAGACTAGAAGTAAGCAACTTTCTATCTGGTGACCGAGAAAAAAGACGCAAAGAAAATGATGTTTTTTCCTCAGCTCCACGAAAGATTTCTCCATCTTCTGGAGAATGTGCAAAATGAGTTCTTTTTTTTTTTTTTTGGATAAGCAATGAGTTCTCTCTTTTGTGATATGTTCGTGCTCTTGAGTATCACGAGCTTGTGCTTTCTTTCTTTCTCATTACTAGACTCTGCTTTTTCAAGTTTTACCCTCTAGAAGTTCGAGTTATCTTTTTAGTTTCTTTGCACTGAGTGCTGTGAAATCCCAGAAAGATCACAGGATTGTTTGAGGAAGGAAAGTCAAGAATGGGGTCCTCTAAAGTTAGGTTCTAGCTTCAAGATTGTTGATTTCTTAGTATAAAATGGCGACTTAGTTGAACTAACCTCAACCTGTAATCATCCTGCTTCAGGAACAAAAGTCTAGCATGCCTAGCCTGCTTTGCTTGACCAGGCAGGAAAAATGAAAGGTCTAAGGTCAAGAATTGCAGCATAAGTATACAATCAAGACAAATAATATATTCAACTCACGCACATGACAAAAAGAAATTGGCATCGTTTGGTTTTGTGTGGGAAAATTAGAACAATTCAGATCTCGAAAGTGTGCTGGCTTTTTGAGCTGGGGGAGTAAATGGAAGTAGAATATAGTTGGAGAAAGTCAGACTTTACACATTAATGAGATGAAATATATACGATTCTACCTCTTTCATTTTTATAGCTTGGAGACTTTTAGTTTACCTTTTTCTAGGGAATTCATGAAGATGAGTACAAACTTGCAGGAGCTGCTCGTTCTTCGAGTCTAACTATTCTCCAAGTATTGCTGTGAAGTGACTGTAGAAAATGGAAGGGAAGTTCGTCGTTTTTCTGACAATTCTCTTGTTGGAATCGATTTGCTTGAATGTCTTGGCAAAACCCGAAGAGGATAAGCGAGCATTACTGGATTTTCTTGGCAATGTTTCCCTCTCGCGCGCTCTCAATTGGAACAAGGATTCTTCTGTTTGCCAGTCCTGGACTGGGGTCACGTGTAATAACGACCAATCGAGGGTCATCGCCCTCCAGTTGCCTGGAGTGGGGATCAGCGGTCCAATACCACCGAACACGCTGAGTCGCTTATCGGCACTTCAAATTCTGAAACTCAGATCGAATAGTATATCGGGATCATTGCCGTCTGATTTTTCCAAGCTCAAGAATTTGACTGGCCTTTATCTCCAGAGCAACAACTTCTCGGGTCCATTGCCTTCGGATTGGTCCGTTTGGCCGAACCTCACCGTTGTTAATTTGTCTAACAACAAATTCAATGGGAGCATACCCTCTTCAATATCCAATTTGACATACCTCGCGGCTTTGGATCTGGCGAATAACTCGCTTTTTGGAGAAATTCCTGATTTTAATCTCCCAAATCTGCAGATGCTGGATTTGTCCAACAATGATCTTGCAGGACGCGTGCCTCGGTCGCTTCAAAGGTTCTCTAGTCAGACATTTGCAGGAAACGATGTTTCCTTCGAGGATGATGCATCACCTTCGGCTCTTCCAGCTAAACCTCCTAGCGTCGGACCACCCAAAAAAGCCAGCAAACTCAGCGAACCGGCACTTGTAGGAATCATCATCGGTGGTTGCATACTCGGAGTCGTGGCAATTGCTCTTTTCATGATCGTGTTCTGTTCGAGTGGAGGAATCAAAAGGAGAGCATTGCTGAAGTCGCAGAAGCAAGAAGTGTCTCAAAAGAAGAGAGGGGTCGCCGAGAGCCAAGAAAAGGACAACAAGATCGTGTTCTTCGAGGGCTGTAACTACGCATTCGATCTCGAGGACTTGTTGAGAGCTTCTGCCGAGGTGCTTGGGAAGGGGACGTTCGGGGCGAGCTACAAGGCGTCCCTGGAGGACACGACCACGATGGTGGTTAAGAGGCTGAAGGAGGTGAGCGCGGGCAGGAAGGAGTTCGAGCAGCAGATGGAAATGGTCGGGCGCATCAGACACGAGAACGTAGCTCAACTCAGGGCGTACTTCAGCTCGAAGGACGAGAAGTTGCTCGTGTACGATTTCTACGGCGAAGGGAGCGTGTCGTCTCTGTTACACGGTAAGCACGACGGTTGATTTGCTAACTGCGCTCAACTGTCGTTTTACTTTGTGAAGTCATGCATCATTTTTTAACGTGTGCTGGTCTAGCTTAGTCTGGCGTTTTTCCTGGATCATGATCACCATGAACTTCAACTGTGATCAGCTCCAACATGTTCGTTTTCTTCTCGAAGATGTAAGTCATCCGACGCGTGTCTTCACAATTTGCAGGCAACGTACGCGAACGCCGGGGTCCCCTGGACTGGGAAACTCGCCTGAAAATCGCGATCGGCACCGCACGAGGCATCGCTCACGTCCACACGCAAAACGGCGGAAAGCTCGCCCACGGCAACATAAAGTCCTCGAACATATTCCTAAACTCCGAGGGATTCGGCTGCGTGTCGGACGTCGCCTTGGCTCCGATGATGAACCAGATCCCCCTGCCGCTGATGCGCATCTCCGGCTACCGTGCCCCGGAGATCACGGACAGCAGGAAGCCGTCGCAGGCGTCGGACGTCTACGGCTTCGGGGTCCTGCTGCTGGAGCTCCTCACGGGGAAGTCCCCGGTGCACGCCACGAGCGGCGACGAGGTGGTCCACCTGGTCCGGTGGGTGAACTCGGTGGTCAGGGAGGAGTGGACCGCGGAGGTGTTCGACATGGAGCTCCTGCGGCACCCCAACATCGAGGAGGAGATGGTGGAGATGCTGCAGATCGGGATGGCCTGCGTCGCGAGGATGCCCGAGCAGCGGCCGAGGATGCCCGACGCGCAGCGGAAGGTGGAGGAGATCCGCCGCGTGCACACCGCGACGCAGCCGACCCCGGAGATCAAGTCCCCGGGATCATCGGCTTCCGCTCCGCCGTCCCCGGCGGGGTCCCCGCCGCCCTCGGCGCGACAGCCTTAGAAGGGGTCTTATTTTTTTTGGGGGTCAATTCAATCTCGAGTTGAACGCACGAGGCTTGATTTGCTCGAATCGATTATGAATTCCCAGCACGGGAGGATTGTAGAATTTTGGAAATCGTGTTGACATGGTGGGAGCCACGTTCGGACCCACCACCGACGCCCAATCTTCGAAAAATCTGACCGAAATCATGTTGACACGGTGCGGTCACATTTGGAACATTCAACGCCAATTCTTAGACCCCGCCCCCCTTTTTTGAGATTTGACCGCCCCCCCATTCCCACCCATCCAAATTCAATTCAATTCAATTCCAAATTCCCAAAACCCGCGTACCGAAAACGCGAAGACGCCGGCCCCCCCCACCACCCGGAAACGAGCCGACACGCAGCCCCCGGCCCGCCACCCACCCCAGCCCACAGAATGCGACGCCGGCGGTGACGCCGACGGCCGACCCCGCCACAGTTCGCGGCATCCCCAGATGTGCTCACGCTGACCACCTCCAAAACAAAATTAATTAATCAATCAATCAATCGATTCAAGAAAAAGTATCTAAAAAATTGTAGTTATTTTCAGTTTTCACCGTCATTATCTCGTTCCCTATTAATTTTTTTTATTTTCCGAGCGCACCTTGGCCGGCCATTTATCTCGATTATTATTATTCTTTTTTCTGTTGCGCTCTTCGAATTCAATCGTAATTAGTTTTGACCCGCGTGATTAGAGACACGAAATTCGGATTCGGCCAAAACACGGAAGATAATTAATTAATTAATTAACTGTGGAGCGATTCCTTTTCTTTCACGGAAAAAGAAAAAAAGGAGGAGGAGAATAACAGGGTTGGGGTGGGGCAAAATCCGGGCTACTTTCGGCGAAAACGCAACCAAGCCACCCCTCACACGGAACCGCCCGGGCCCCACACGGCTGAAAAGAAAAATTAATAATGAATAAAATAAGGAAGAAAATGAGCCAATGAGACGGCGGGATTATGAATCCAAAGACCAGACCTTTTCGTATTCGGAACAAAAAAATGAAATAAAAATAAAATAAAATAAAATAAAGGAGCATTACATAATTGTTAAAGTCATCATCATCACGCTCGCCTCCTTCCTCTTCTCTCGCGCAGAATCTCTCCATCGCTCTTCGTCTTCCCTTCTCGTCCCCGCCGATCTCTCTCTCTCTCTCTCTCTCTTTCGATTTTCAGGTACGTTCGGCCGTCTCGTCGCTCGTGCTTGTTCGCCGCTTGTTTCGGCTCCGATTGTGGTTCTCGGTTTCCCGGGAATCGTCCGGCGCGTGTGGTTGAATAAAATCAGGCGATCTCCGTTCCGATGGCGTCCAAGAGGATCCTGAAGGAGCTCAAGGATTTGCAGAAGGATCCCCCCACATCTTGCAGCGCCGGTAAAATTTCCCTCTGTTTTTTTTTTTGTTCTTCATTTTTGGCGTCTCTTTTGCTCGTGCGTATCTGTGGTTGTTGATGATCTAGTGTCGATCGATGGTTAGATGCTTCCGTGTGTAGATGTTGTTGTTTGAGGGTATTTGCTTGCCGAGTTGGATTGAACGGTGCTTGTCTCGGTTTCGCATCGTATTAGAATTTTGGAAGCTTCTAGAATCGTAGAGCAGGAGGCTCTTCGGCACCGATGTTTCGCGGGAATTGTGCTGTAGAGAAAGATCGATCTGTTTCTGTGGAGGGCTGCTTGGACGTAATTAGAACTTGTTCCGGCTTTTTTTTTTCACCTAGAGAGGGCTAGAGCTTCTGATGTTTTCCAGGATTGTTGTTTCTGAGTGGTGGAAGTTTTGTCCTCCTTGAATTAGCTTTAGAGGGTTGCGCGTATTATCGGGGACAACAGACCTTTTCTTAGAATTTGCCCATGGAGTTCCTACTCCTTCAGTGCTGAGTTTTTCTTTCGATCGAGGCGTTTTGTTAAGCTACATATTGCCCTTGAGATTACCTGGAGAGAATTTCGGATGATGGCGAAGATGGTCTGTCCATCGGGGTTGGGTGTCAAGGTGAGAAAGTTGGGGAAAGGCTGATTTGACCTATCATTTTTTGTATCCTCTCTTTGCTATAATTGTAAAATTAGGGTGGCACCTTTCTACAAGCATTTCTAAACCTGCAATTTCCCTGATTGTGACGGCTACAGCACCCTTGATCAATTTGAATTGGGGAGCAACTGAGTATGACGGGGATGATGCTGCTCAAGTTTATCTATCGATTCATGCATGCCCATTTTGTTAATATAATGTTTTGTCAGTTCCTTTTCTGGCAATAGGACATGAATGTCTTTGATATATCTCGCAACATATGCAATGGTTTATTGCCGACATTGGGCCACTAACATTGACAATTGTGTCCACCAATTCTTATATTGAATTGTCATGTTTGCAGGTCCTGTTGCCGAAGACATGTTTCACTGGCAAGCTACAATTATGGGTCCCCCTGATAGCCCTTATGCTGGGGGTGTTTTTCTTGTAACCATACATTTTCCTCCAGATTATCCATTCAAGCCTCCAAAGGTTCTCAATTGCTGTTTTTTGTTTGTGGGCTTTGCTAGTTTGAGTGCTTTTAGTTTTGCAGTTTCAAATTATTAAAATCCTTTAGAGCCAAAGGAGCTCCATGCATGTTCCTACATCTCCCTGATTATGACGGCCAAGTACATATAAGATGGTTCACGTGTATCCATTGCTTTCAAATTGTGTGCTGTCCTTCATTGTTTCGTTCTTCTCTTTACCAGTTTTCCATATTGAGAATAAAGAAGCAGTACTTGGTTTCCCCTGATTCATTTTTTTGAAAAATCGACAGTGCTTTATTCAAATGTGAAAAGAAAAACACGTCGATCATGTAAAGAGTTAAATTTTATACATTTGTTGCATAGCTTTTTTATGCTATAAGAATACCACCCTTCGCAATTAAGTTCAATTAAGTTCATGAATTACTTTCTGCCTACTACCTGTAAAAGTTTTCTGATCCATCATTGAATATTATGTATGAGGTGCCAAATACAGAATGGAATGATGGGAGTATGCTTTTTTGAAAGTTGATTTATTCATAAGCTTGAATTTGTTGGAAGTGGGCCGTTCTGTTCCCAAGGTGTGTGTGTTGATAATTTGTCGCGATCTTTCTTGTGATATGCCAGAGAATTTATTTAGGAATGGCATGTGATGTTGGAGGTTGACAATCTAAAAATGTATGTTAGCGAACTCTAGCAGTTTGGTGCTTGAAGTTACTTGCTGGTCCACCACCACTTGTTCCTTAACCTCCGATAGGCATAGGAGCACACGCTAACTGTTTCCTTCTGCTAACTTTGATTCCTCCTGTAGTTTCTTTGTTTTGAAATTTTGCATTTAAAAATTGAACCAATTTGACATTGCAAATAAGCTTATCATGCAGCAGGCTAATATCAAAGTAAATAAGCAAAATAGCAGCACTACCTTGTGATAGGAAGGCTTACATTGATATCTTGAATTTTTTCTCCTCTTTCATATAGGTGGCATTCAGAACCAAGGTTTTCCATCCAAATATTAACAGCAACGGGAGCATTTGTCTTGATATTTTGAAGGAACAGTGGAGTCCTGCCTTGACCATTTCCAAGGTGATTACGCTTTAAAACTACATTGCATTCAGGTCCTCGCTTAGCATATTCGTGGCCATAGTTGATGTTCATATTTGGCAAAAACATTGAACTGCCTCTAATAGATCGAAGTTATACTTAAGAAATCCCTCTCTGTTTGTCTCTTCCTGAAATCGCCATTACTTCTCTATCAGGTGTTGCTTTCAATCTGTTCTCTTTTGACGGATCCGAACCCTGATGATCCTTTGGTACCGGAGATAGCTCACATGTACAAGACGGACAGGAACAAGTATGAGACAACTGCAAGAAGCTGGACCCAGAAGTATGCCATGGGCTAAATAAAAGCAATCATCATTCGTATGGGCGAAGGCCCCTCTTTCTCTTCATTCTTGTCTATGGATGTAACATTCGGATGATATGCTTAAATTGGAACTTAAGAACGAAGTGATAGCATTTTCTCAGTTAAAAGAAGAAACTCTTATCTCAATGTTATATTGTTTGTGCGAAGGGTGGTCCGTCGACCATCGAATATGTCGAAAGCTTTGAAGACTCCTCTTGACTTCTTTATGTAAGTTAATCTCGTTGCACTGCATTTCATTTCTGTCGTCGTGTTTGATCCTTCGTTCTAGGTTGTGATCGGCGATACAACTTAATACTTGAGTTTGACTCAAGTCGAGTATAAAAGGCTGGATACTTGACTCCGATGTGTGAATGTACCATCCGTAGATTAAGCTCGCGACCTAGTGGATTAGTTCTGGCTCGATTTGATGGAGTAGTCGAGTTACTTCTGTTCACTCAAATTTTAATAGAATCAAGAATCTTCGAGTTGATTTCGAGCACTTTATTGAAAAGCTTGAATTCCTCGTGATAAAGTATCCCTACATAAGGAAATATGTCGATTCAATTTCCTGAATACTCTTGAAATACGGTACATGTAATGAATTCAGGGAACTAATGGAAATGGCGTTGGGGTAGGATGCCGCGTCATTGACTTGGTTAGTCGAGGGAGTGGTAAGCTAGTAAGGAAATGCAACATTTTCTAGATATGTGTACATTCAGGAGTTGGTATGCTTAAAAACCGATTAATGTAACTTGACAAACTCTTACCTTGTGAATGATTGTTGAGAATTGTATATGATAAGACGAGAGAGGCAACTAAAGCAACGTATAGATAAATTGAATTTAGAGCTTTCGATAACATTAGTGTGGTAACTCTTTCTAAAGTTCAAATAAAGCATGTAAAGGCGCATGACAAGTAGTAGCGCTTGCGCACCCCGTTGATCTCTGCCGTGAGATAACGAGAGTCTCATGTGAGGGATCATTCTAAAGCTATACTGGTAACGGCGAAATTCACCATGCTTGAAAAGAAGCCCATATTAAAACAGGCCTAACCCACATCGGGAACCTACGAACGAAAGTGAAGGATTCGAGCTGGCCTTAACCGAACTGGGCCACCTCCACACGAGAATCGCTGAACGCAAGCCCCGTCCCATCCAAAGAAACTTCCATCTATGCATCTATTGTCTTAAGTTCCTAATTAGGTTTACTCCTAAATTAGAAGGACTCATCTTGAGCTCACCAGGCTCACTTCAAAGGCCACAACCTGAACCACGAGAGGCCACAGTCATTCACGATCGCGAGCACCACACTAAACTCGTTCATCACCTTCATCAACGGCCTCCACGTTCCGTTAACATCTGGCGAAGCTCAAGGAGAGAGTACTCGGAAAGATCGCAAAGCGAAAAGCATCGATGCGTGGAAACGAACACTGTAGTATGGCAGCGATCGCAGTTGAAAAAATTGAATGAACGGCGGGCTTAAACGATTTGTACTCCCCAACCACGCAAAGCGCTAAATCATCCCATGCCCATTATTACCGAGAGTAAATTCCAGACGAAGCTCGAATTATTTTTAAGGCTCGAAGTCAACTTTACCGGCTGCATTAATGACGGGCTTCTTCCCTCGAGGTTAATCGCGATTTCGTTGCCCCCCTTTGGATTATTTAATGTGAACGGGAATATTCTCTCATTTTTCGGAGAAAAATACAGAAAAAATTTGAGCTTGGTAAAACAATTGTTTTGACCATAGCCTTCTCGAGGGTCACTGCTAGTGCTTCCGCTCCTTCAAGAGCTAAAGTTGCCTTTTAGAGGTCATGATGCGATGGGGGATTGAACATAAGCACACTTTTGCACTTTTAGCATGGCATCATCGTGCGGAAACCAGGGTTTTGGAATCGAAGTATCTTGGTGAAGCAAACTAATGAGTTATCATAATATGGTCATATAGAAACTATCTTTATAGGTTGAGAAGTTAAGTCTTTTGGCCTCCCCCACTAAGTCATGCCTCGAGCTTTTACCATGTCGCGGGATCATGTTGTTGCTCATCGATGCCATACACCTAGCTTTGAAAAACTTAATACGACCAACATCCAAGAAGGCCACGTCAGTATTCGGGATCTGTCGAGCTCGGGTGACCGAAGAGCTGAGGAAACCATATAGCTATGGTTAAAATCAAACCCTAATTTGAACTTTAGGTTCACCTAATTTTAATAATTGCTTGGAAAAAATCTGAGTAGATGGTGACCCATGTCGTGGATTTCCATCGCGTTCTTTATGCAACTGGGTCACAAGTGTCGGGGCTCCAACTAGGGCAAAATCTGAGTATGAACACTAATCTAATATAAAGAAAATAATAACGATAATAATAATAATTCCCCTAGACAAACGGGTCGTGCCCACGAGAGGAAAGGAGCATGGTCCCTGAAAATCAGGTTCACTAAATTTTTCAGACCTAAGTAACCTAGCTAATCCTCGACTTTCATGTTCCTACAGGGCTTGTCCCCTACTAAAGACAAGACTGTCACCGCAAGAAAATTCCAAACGACAACTCCAAGCTAATTTTAAAATGGGAAAGTATTACGTGGAAAAATTCTCGGGTGCCCACAAAAATCGTATAATAAATTGATTAACTCGTTATTGTTGTTCATATGCGGGAAAAGTGGAGAATTTCGTACATTGAATTATTGGGTCAATCATGGGTTATTATGTTAGCGAGCGAGTCGCCACTATGTTTTGCCGGATTTAATCATTCAGTTTTTACAGATAATTCAACAATTAATTATAGAGCTAGTCCGGTTCTTGGATTAACATTATGATATCTCCCTGATGTTAACAGATGTTGAGCAAGGGAAAAAGCTCATTGCCAACGAGATAGTACACGCTTAAATCAAAGAAAGAACATATATATTTTTAGATATTAATGGACCCCGAAATAATATGACGAGCCATACACATATATGATCTCAAATTTGCATGATGTATAGCCACTACGGAATACTATTATGTAAATAAGTCATGCAAAACCAACAAGAATGACACTCAATATCAGCCTTTCAACCTTGTAATTGATTGAACTTGCTCCATCGATGAGCCTGAGATTTTCACGAAGAAGCTCGAAGTCGTTGATCTACCAGGTTCAAAATCACTTATCATTGAGAAAAATTCGTATTATTTTCTAGATTAATGTCAATAAAACATAACACTTCCTCATGTCAAATTAAACCCACATTTCGAGATCATGGATCATTAATAGACTTAGTGCCCCTTTTCCTAAATCTCTCTCTCTCTCTCTCTAATTTTAATTTTATTTCCACGTTCGTAGCATTCTGGACTTCCAAGCCAATGAGGCCAAAGTGCAATTGTACTATCTCGCATTGAAACGAGGGAAATACCCATAAACAATTTGGCATAGAAATGGGGGAAAATGTTAAACAAACATCGAAACCTAAAGTCATTATCAAAATATTTTTTTTTTTGGAAAATTAAATATTAAAAGGTTTAAACAGAAAAGAAAATGGTGGTGAGTGTCTGAGTGATGAAAGCAAAAACTCTCTTATCTCAAGCTGTCTGGTGCCCCCCACCCCACGTGAGAAACCGCACGTGCTCTCCATTGGTCAGCGCGAAGGCGCGAACGGCGCCGGTCACCGGTTCCTCCACCAGTGAAGGGGGGGCTGTCAGCGGGAGGGCCCACCGGCTGAGCCGGTCACCCGCTGTCGTCGAGTCTCGGGACAAGATATCTATATATCTTTATAGCTTCGACCCAAAATATATATATATATATATATATATATATATATATATATCTTTATAGCCCTTTTTTAAGACCGAAAGAGGAGAAAAGAAAAAGGCAAGAAGATAATAGAAAACGTGTTTATTTATTAAAATTAATTAATTTGACAAAACGTAGTGAAAGGCAAAAGATGTGCGATCGTGGATAACTACACACCCGTGTCTGAATTCGCTTTTACGTATAATCTTTTATCTATTCAGACTCAAAATATCTGAAAAGCACGACGAGACGCATGCACCGTAGATTATAACGTTAGCAATCATCGCAATCTCTCCTTCCATACTCTACTCGACTAAGCATTATCACACTCGCCAATTTCATACTTATAGATTCATCGCTTTTCAACATGTTGGATGTTGCGCGATGATAAAATATCAATTTGAGAACCAGATATTGTGATCCATCTTAAGGAAGTACATCCATGATATAATTAAGTGGAGGAAAATTATTAAAAAAGTCTTACACATATTACAATTGTACTAATTCATTTTTAAACCTTTTTTTTTATCAATTTAGTCCATTCAGCCAATTTTGACCGGCCGGCGTTAACGTGAATGCAATCCTGCTAATGCTAATGTGCCAATTTTTAAATATTTTTTTGAATTTTTTCTTTTTCTTTCTTTTTTCTTTTCTTCCTTCTTTTCATTTTTTCCCCACAGCCTCGCCGGTGAGCCACTGGTCGAGGGTCACCCCCAAGCCTGGTGCCCAGATCATGAGGAGCAGCTGCTGCGCCTCGCGATCTAGGCACGAGGCCTGGGGCCTGCGGGCAAGGCGGCCTCACCCAAATCTAGGCAAGGCCATGGCCGCCATCGCCCGTGTCGCCAGGGCCTTGCCTGCCAAGGGCGAAGGCAGCCATGGCCTCGCTCAGATATAATATTTTATGGTATAATATTCTGCTAGATTTTATTTCTACCCCGATTAATCACACGGATAAATTACCATAGTATCCTCCATTAACATTGGAGGTCAGAGACGACCACGATTCGCGCACGTCGCATTGCATGGGAGAGCGCGCGATTATTCTGGTTTAAGTGCTGTGCGGAGACACTCGAAATCGAGAAGGAGGGAAGGCAGAGAGCGAGCGCATCCATCCATGTGCCATTCAATTCGGTGAATTAATTGCCTATAGAAAATCGGGAAAAAAAATGCGAAATCGATAACGTCGAATCGAATTATAAAGTATGTTCATGTTGGTTCGTGGACACCCACTTCGGAGCATAGTGTAGAATTTTGTCTCGTAGAAAATCGAGAATCGAACTTATTTCTTTAAACCTTGTCCACGTGTCAACTTGCTCGACTAGAACTTTTCGTTGTAGCTATCTGAATAAGTCTCATCTCTCCAATTAATGAGCCCTGCACAGCACTCTTTTCAAGCTTACATAGCTTCGAATAATTCGATTTTCAATTAGAGAATATTAT